TTTAGGATAGATGATACTGAATATACTTTTTCAATCTAATTTATAGAAGTCAAAAATATTGATTTGGTTAGTATAATATTAGAAGCAAAAAATAAAAATAAAATTATATAAGAAATACTTTTATAATATTTATATTAGAATTATTCAGAAAAGAAATTAATAAAATTATAAAATTGATAGAAGGTACTTATAAGTAAAGATGTGTCCCTAAATTATTTAGCATATAAAATTTCACAGATCAATTATGTCTCTTTTGAAGGGATATAATTAATTATTTATTATTTTAATAGGAACATAATTTAAAAAACACTTGGATAAAGTGGTTTAAATTGCAAAAAACCTTTGTAGGTGGTTTTTTTTGATCTTATATTTAAAAAAAAAACCTTTTTAATAGTAAAAGACATTTGAATTATGTCCTTGTCTTTAATTTAAAGACTCATCTTTACTTATAAGATTACACTAGTTGAAATCTGATTATTTGGTAGTATGTTATTAAACATTCGGCAATAATTTGACATATTTCAATTTATCAAATTATTGATGAATGCTTGATCAACTAGTGTTAAGGATGGATTCCTAAATTATTTAGTATATAAAATTTTGTAGATCAATTATGTTTCTTTTGAAGGGACAATTATTAATTTATTGTTTTAATAGGGACATAATTTAAAAAAAACTTGGATTAAGTGACTTAAATTGCAAAAAAATTTTGTAAGTTGTTTTTTTTTAATCTTATATTTAAAAAAATTTTTTATTATATTCTTATTTTTAATTTAGGAATCTATCTTTATATAGTGTAAAAGATAAAGGAAATGTAATCTGGTTAAAATATATATAACAGTAATTAAAATATATAAAACAACAAATAAAATCAAAAAAATTTGAAGCTGGGATAACTAAAGAACATGCTCAAAAAATTTTAAATACTATAAATAATAGTAAGTATTTAATAAGAGTAAAATATATTCAAGATGATTCTATATATAGTACAGATAAATCTCAAATAAATATTACTTTTAAAATTATTGATAAATATAAACCTATTTGTGAATCAAAAAAGGCAGGTAAAAAATATATTGGAAGTGATCCAAATGTTATACTTACAAAAAAAACAAAATCAGAAATTTGAATAAGAATAGATGAAAAATTTCCAGTTAGAGAAGTTAATAAATAATCTGAGATAGTAATGCAGTAATTTATGGATTATATCAAATTCAAAAACCAGATATTAATTGATTAATGACTATAAAAGATGGAGCACTTAATTGTATAGTTTAACAAGTAATAGAGTATTTTGACAATACTAAAAGAGAACAGGAACTTACAAAAATTCATTGACAAAAAATCAATATATGGAAGAAAAAAATACATATTTCTGGTGCTCAAGTATAAGATATAGCAGAATTGGAAAAAATTCTTAACCAACTGATTAAATTACTTGATATTACTCATGGCACTATCTTTATTAGTGGAAAATATTGATCAGGTAAGTATGAAGAAATGTGATGATAGTTCATAATGGTCATGCATTTTCAAGAAATTAGCACTTTTCAAGTAATTGAATGGTAGAGTATTATAAAGGTGATACATGGGAAGCTATTAACAATGCTCTTCAAGGTTCACAAGCAATATGGCTTATAATAATAGGAGATACAAGTTAAACAATATCCCAGTTTGTCATAGAAGATGGTTGTATATTTAGAACATGGAAAAAGCATACAGAAATTATAGAATCATTTAAGGAATTATTATCTCCGTCGTGTATCATTGGATGGTGCGAAATAATTATACTGTATAGAAATTAGCACAGAACAATTAGGTCACAGGGTTATAAATACCACCGCATCCTTTGTATGTACAGTATTATACGCATGAACTGTATATGAGTAATGTCCCGAACTCAATTTTTTATATCTGTATTAAAAAATATCCGAGCTTGAAGTATTGAAGAAAAGAATGCCAAGCTCAAGATAAGAATGCTGATCTCGTAGACGATATTTTCGATGTGAAAGCCAAGAATATAAAGCTCAGACAGGAGCTGTTAGAGAAGAGTAGGATAGATACTGATGCTGAAAATGCTAGGAGGAATGCCAAAAAAAGCTGAGATTAAGACAAGAGTCGCAAAAGTTAGAATAAGATTCTAAGCAGACACAGAATAATTTCTTTCTTGAAGAACTTGCCCATGTACTTGATACCATTATAGCCCGCTTAGGCAGTCATAGCCTGACTGTGAAACTAGGAGGAAACGGGGATTGATACTTACTTGAACGAGGACGTATGAAAATAATCAATTATGAGATTAGAGAAAGGAGGCGGGAATAAAGTAAGTTCAGCGTGAAACAGAGTGGATCGAATTACAGTATGAGGAATTAGCGTTAATGAGAGAAAAAAAATTATTGGGGTTGTTTCTGCCTTATACTTCTTAAAAAAAGTTATTTTGGAGAGAGGTTATATTTTTGAATATCTAACTTGATGAGAACATTCACAAAGAGCTACTCATTAAATTAAGCTTTTCGAAAACTTGAAAACTATACAAAGTACTTATTCCGGTGGATTTGCATCACATCGCGTAAATGAATAAGGAAGACAAAGCTTGATAAAGGAGAACTTTAATATTTTCCTAATATCTTAAAAAAATAATAATAAGCTTGTCATACATCGTCATGTGGTTACTGTAATAACCCAAATTCATACTTGAATCTTAATGATTGCATTATTATGTTTTAAAGCTGGTGTTTCCCAAACTTTCATTCTTGTGTAGGTACATAATCATACAGGGGCTCTTGATTACGATACCATCGAAAATACCAAGAATAAGCAGTGCCTCGTTGCTGATCAGTTCCAAAAATGTAGTAATAAAGTCCCCTGAGTACACTCCAAACTCCACCAAGCAACCCAAAAGATGCCAGAAGCTAAATACAGTACGGCAAATTTTAAGATCATTATATATTCGAAGCACTTTTTAATATATTATACTCACAGTGTAAGACCTATAAATAAAGGAGACATTATGAAAGGATTCCTGATATTATTTTAATAAAATAAGACGTTTACCTCTGTTCTTTTTCAATGTGGACAAAAAAATTATTGCATGAAACCTGAACAGTTCCAAAATAATTAGGGTTCATTGTTGTACTCACATTTCTTGCTCTACTAGCTGAGATTTACAAGTGAGAGTTCCAAAGCATGTATGTGTTTATAATCTTTTGGAAGGAGTTCAAAGAACAAAATTGATGAAAACGAAGCTTACACCACAATGTATCTAACCTTGGTCGATCAACATATTGCAATTCGAATCCAAGTGCTGCCAAGATTGAATATTTCAACGCCCTTCTTATTGTTCGAGAATAATAATATAGTCCAATCTATAATCCATAGTTTTTGAATGATAGTATTAAAAATTCTTATTATGAGACGGTGAAACATAAATAATTTTACCTGATGTTTCTAATAAGTTCATTCATGGTATGAGTAAAAAAGATTTGTTAAACGATAAAGAACATATTTTCATCTGGCAATAACTACCCCTAGTGTGTATACGTGAAGTACTTCTTCGCCTAACCGTTGAGCGGCAAGAGTAATATTTGTAGTTATGTCCGCTCCATCTCTAAAAGGATTGCTGACTAATACAATAATTTATTTATAAGTCAGTGTCTTCTCTTTCACCTAAACTTCAAATCCTTTACCTTTGTCATAAATATTAGTATAAATCGCAGTTGAGTTGACGGTAGCTGCATCGGGCGCATGAAAGTCAAATATAATTGACCCGTTTTGATTACCCGGGATGGTATAAATAAAGGTCAGGTTCTGAGATAAACAATGTAATATAGGCTTTCTTAGTTGGCGTGGGCGGGATGAGATATCGATGGCAGTTTGTCGCATGATTGAAAACTGTAAGCGGTTAAATTAGTAAAGGGATATCATAATAAAAACATTTAGTTGTCACCTACCATAGTTTTCAAAACGACACTTAATCGTAAAGTTGGTATTCATAGTGAATAATACGTCTAAAATATACAATAAGAAAATGCTGGAATGTCTTAAAAATTTTCAAAGCTTTTGTCTTTACCAGGCATCTGACTTCTATCCTCTTTGTATGAACTCATCAAAAGCAATGGGTGATCAAAAATCACCCTAAAAAATAAGATGCAGCCATATACAAATAATAATGAATATATTATAACAAGGGCGACCTTCCTAAGTATGATAATAGGCCTAGGTTCTGAGCGGTTTTCTCTAAAAATATCAAAGGGATCCATTTTGTACCTAGAGACCAGTGAAGGTGAAGTTTTAAAAAACTAAATGATGAGGGATAGTGAAATAGGATAAATAATAATTGTAGTGTAGTGGTTAAGATCCAGATCTAGACGTCTGTCTATTCATATTTATTAGGTTCGGATAAAAAGCGCTCCGTCATTTCGGAGTGGGTGATAAGGTTTTGTTTTGGCGAAAAAGTGTGAGAAATTATTTCTGACCTATTGTATGTGAACCGCATTGCGTCATTGCGCGTGATAACACGAAGCCTTTAATTAAAAAGGCCGTGCCCACAAAACGGACATACTTTTAATAATGAATTGAATATATTTAATATAATGATATGAGTGATGATGATGACAATATAAGCGATTGACAATATGAGCGAAGATAATAAAGAAGGCGATGATATATGGAAGAAAATGAAAATAATGATGATGTAGATAAAAATGATTTCAATAGTATTTCAACAATTACAGTATATAAAGCTGTATGAGTTATAGCAAAATAATGTTGATAAATAAAAAGGTATAAATGATGAAGACGTGTAGTTTAGATATTGATGATGGTAGAAATAAGACAAATGATGGTAAGGACTAAAAGGTGTTGATATGGATGACGAAAATATTATAGATAAAGAAAAAGTAATATTAGCATAATTAATATTTAAAAAATAATACTGTCGAAAATAATGTACAATAGATGAAATCAGTATTGATGAAGAATTTACGTTTCAATACAAAGTCTATCAAATTCAACTATTGAAGCAATTTACAAACATCATCGAGAAAATGTTGATGTAACTTTCTTAAAACAAAAGTCTTGTAATGTGATTATGAAGAATATTACCTTCATCACAGTCCCATTTTTTGTCAATAGGATTTTATACCGGAATATTTTACCATGACGCACACGAACGTGTATATGGAGAGCAGCAGACTGGGCTGTTGTGGGAGAATTAAAATTAAATGGATTATATACAGTATATATAATAATTGGATTTGGTTTAAATATAATGTCTTAAGAAAAATCAAAGGTACTGTATATAATAATTAGTCGTAATGTGTATTTTTTGTTTTTTTTTGAATTTGTAAATATCAATTTTAGTGATTTTTTTTGAATCTTTAGAATAAGAAAAAAATGTATATATTTAATTAATGAATTTTTTTTATTTGAAACGTTTTTTTAAGTTTGATAGATATTTGTAGAAATCAATTCAAATATACTGTATATAATTTTATAAAATCATTTTTGTTTTTTTTTTATTATTTCAAAAATCAAAAAATTTTCTTCATCAATTGTATTAGTTATACAATTTTAAATAAATCAATGCTTCTAAAAGATTTTAATACATTAATCTATTTTTTAAATATAGTATAAAACCAAAAAATTATAACTAATAAAATAATTAAGCTTAATTTAAATATAATCCTTTTATATTTTAAAATTTATTTTATAAGTTTTAATCATTAATAAAATTAAAACTATTTATACAACAAATCTGCAGATATGAAAATTAATAATTATACTTTTCTAAATTAATTATACTTGATTCAAATTGCATTATTATTTTTTAGATTAATAAAATTAAAAATAATAATCAAATAAATCAAATAAACAAATCAAATATCACATATAAATTATAAATATACTATATATCAATTTTCAAAAACAATTAAATTATTTTTTTTCAAGTTTAAAATAAAAATTTCAAATTTCAAAAAATTAAAAATATATCAAGAAATTAGATTTAAAATATATTTAAATTTTATTGATTTTAATAATAAAAGATTCAAATTATATGAAACAATATTGTTTGTTATATTAAATATAATAATATAATAATATAAAAAAAATAACAGAAATTGTTAATTATATTATTTGTTCATATAAGTTCTTAGCAAGTATTGAACAATAATTATTTATAATCACAGTTTCATATAAAATATTTAATTTTACTATTTAAACTAACTTTAATTAATTAAGTAAGTAAATATATTTCCAACAATAAATTATACATGTTATAAAATTTTTAGTAAATTTTATCATTTAATTTAACAATTTATATTTATTTAAAATGACATGCTATGATATAACAATTTTGCTAAAATTTTTTTAAAAAAACTATTTTATTACAGATAAAATTCATCATAGCAATTATGGTTATTTGGTATATTAAGGTCAATTTTCATGATAAGAACAAGAAAATTTATATTTATCAATTAATGATAATAATTTGAAAATTGATTTTTTTTGTTTGTAGCAATTTTTATTTATCAAATAGTTTTTTAAATAATTAATATAAATTTGATGCACAAGTAATTTAAAACATAATAAACAAGATCGATTGATTATAGATTGTTTATTAAAATACTAATTTTAGAATTAAGATTAGTATTAGAATTAATAAACCATAAATGTTGATAAAACTTAACAAAACCTTCACTGTATATAGATTTAGTTGTCTATATTACTGTATACTTAATATGCAGTAACTTCTATGTTTAAAAAAACTACAGTATAGACAATTTCTTTTATCGAGAATTGACTGTACGTCTTACTGTATCGTATAAAGTCACTCCATCACATGTCTTGCTGCATAGATCATCCCACGCATTGGGTGGCTGCAATTTTACAATTTCTCCGGGCAAAGAAATAAATTGGGTAAGCATCCCAACCACAAGATGAATCTAATACAAAATGTAGAATAAATTTAATACAGTAAAACGAAACATTATCCTAATTCTAAGAAATGTTTTTTAACAAACCGTCGAGTGACAATGAAACGCCCATACTCCAGGATTATCATTTACGAAGCGAAAGTTTACCCATCTGCAGCATATTTATAACAATGATATTTTAAAATGAATTGCATCATTGTATGTAAATAATTTGTTTTCTTTAAAAAAAAGAATGGCTCACCCAAATCTGGGAACAACGACAACATCCCGTTTAATGGGATTTGTAATATTTATACCATCACCTATCGGGGTGGTTGAATTTCCGGATCCAAGATACCAAAAGGAGTGACCATGCTATTGGAACAAGTTTTGTAAGTAAAATTATAGAAAAAAATGATTTATAATCAAACGACTCACCAAGTGGAAAGAATGTGGAATCGAGTCCCTGCCTATAAGAAGTAAATTTAAAGTCATCAATATACAATGGTTTGGGAATACACAAGTAAACTCTATAATTAAAATGTAACATTACTTATCAAGAAAACATTAATGACTTCAATATTTTCGAACGTATATGTATTCACATCAGGCGGAACCTCAAAACCATGATGCACCCTTCTAAGAGTGTTATCTTCTGCTGGATAATAGCTACTAGGAAGAAATCCTCTTGATTCAGTGGCTATAGAGCCAAAAATGGGATTTCCATATTTGTTCTCTAATGAGTTGGCGGCATCCATGATAACTTGCATTCTTAATTCAACAGTTGGATCCGGCACAGTTTGCTCATAATATGAAACAAATCCTTCTTCATTATCGATACATTCTGTCGATACCTTAACCCACGATTTTGTTTCAGGTAGAGATTTGTTGCTTGCATCATAACGAACAATTGCTTTTATTTCATTTGGAAGCTGTCTTAATTCTTCCTCCGAGGAAGTGGATCTTAGGCAACCTTTTTGAAACGTTGCACGCATCCAATAGTTAGTGTTAACATTTGAAGTATTGACTTGACTGATAATTATGGAATATCTCTGGGCTACACCGATTACTATAGATTGTAATTTCTCTAATGGCTTAAGAATTGTTCCTTCAACCTCTATTATTTGAATAAGATGGTCGTCGACCGAGAATATGTATGACGATATGGCACTGCACAAAAATATCCGTGATTAGTTTAGGTAGCTATGTTTTATATCTTACAGTGTTAATGTAATCACCTTGTATTAATTAGTCGGATACGGACTTTTTTTCCAGGTTCGAAAATGAATTCCGAAAAACTTTCGTTAGACGTACATCCAGGGCATTCTCCATTCCTTCCATTGATTAATCCATTAACCGGAACGGCCTTTGATATTTATAATGCTTAAAATTAAATACAAAAGGACACAAATGTTAAAAAACATTTTTATTTTACATACCTCAGGTATCTCATTGTTATAAAAAGAACTTAAGAGGACCTTATCGTAATATTCTTGTCTAATTATATCAAACTGTTCAGCATAATAATCAGACAATAGAATTGTAGTCTCATTATCATATTCGAAGATTTTTTGGTCATTGGGATCCTTAACAATAAAAGGGCCAAATAACCCGTCTACTAACTCTCCCGAGTGATGCGCATGACTATTTTAGCGAAAGTTTAAGATTAGAAAAATCATGCTCGCTTTAGTTCACGACTTGTATGATATTAAATCACATTTATACTCACTACCAATGTGTTCCTGAATTATTTGCCACAATTTCATAAGCGAAAGATTGACCAGATGGGATACCGCATTGAGTCACCGTTGATACTCCATCCATGAATGGTGTATGACGTTGTTCAAATCCATGCCAATGTATTGACACACAAGTTTCGATAAAATTATGCACCCAAATCTTTAGCCTTTGACCTTTATAAACATTAATCTCTGGACCAGGAAACTGTCTATTAATAGTCACTACATA